AAAAAAAAAATCATTTTTTCTAATGCCATTAAGGAAATTGAAAGGCAACTAGGAAGAGAAAGATGGTGGCGTGACTAATAGTACACAACGTGACCCATGTAGGTATAGATGGCTAAAAGATGCTTCTTTCTTCCAACGTGGGATGTTACTTCGCTTGCCTAAGAAGGATCGATAAAGCAGACAACGTGGAGGGAATTCCTCACAAAGAGGAAAGCCACTTGGATCTCCATTAGCACTTGATTTTGATGTCTTTAGGTCCTATCATAAGTGGTCCTTAACTACATATCTATCTAATCATGACATCACCCTCAACCGCTCCCATCTACGGGAGGCGTCAAGTCCTTTCGTTTACTACGGGAGGCGTCAAGAATCAGATTACACCAAGAAAATCAGATCATCGGCCTTACAAATGGCCTCACAATATTAGCACTAACCGACCCTGACCTGGACTCTAATGTAGTATCATTTACAGTCTAAAATTTGACCAAATGGACCAAAATAAACCCGCTGCCGAAAAACACAAAATACCAGTCAGCCAACTGTAAAATAACCACCAAATCACCGGTCCCAACGGGCCTCACTACAAAAATATGGCCGAAAAAATATACAGGATCAGATCTGAAGAATATCCCTTGGTAAAGGCTCAAAAATTGCCAAAATAGAGAGAGAATCTACCATTTGAAGAAAAATGAAAGAAGGAAAGTGAAAAAAATCTGGTCCCTCTCTCTCCAGCCGTCTACTTCTAGAATGAGAGAAAAATGGTTGCCAATCTCAACCCTCCCTTTTGATCAATGGCCTATAATTTTTCAAACAAGCACAAATCCTTGTGAAGAGTAAGTTGCCAATAGAAAGCTGCCATGTGGCCAACAAATAGAGAAAACGTTGAATCAAAAAAGGTTCAATAGATGATATCGAGTACCGATTGTTAGTAGCCGCTACAAATAATTTCCATGAAGACAACATTCTTGGTGAAGGTGGATCAAGCCACTTTTTATAAAGACCAATTTGACAACGACTTTCATGCAGCCGTTAAAAAACTATCGGCTGGTGGACAGGTAGCCGAAAGAGAATTCAAGGTAAATTTACGCATGTTTGGTTCTATCTTTCGGAATTTGGTTATTCTTTTGCAGGTTTTCAATATGGCTATATTTCAATTAATTTTGCAGAATGAGATCAAGTGGTTGAATAAGATTCAACATCAGAACATTGTTTTGCTTTCGGGATACTGTATTCATGGCGAGGGGCACTATCTCGCCTATGAATTGATGCACAATGGGCCAATGGCTCTCTGGAATTCCAGTTACATGGTAAAAAGTGTGCTCCAGATTCATTTGATCTTTTTTGGCTAAGCTTAAAAAGTTTACTTATACGTAATAAGTAAGTTTTAGAAAGTTAATTTTTTATTGATAGAAAATGAGAATAAGTTAGTTATTTGAATCGACAGAAAGGTTAGAGGTAATTTAAAATAATTTATTTTTTATTTTTAATTAAAAGTAAGGAATAAGTTTCTCAATCAAAACTGTTTGG